AATTGGCAAGGCGTTAATACTATATTTTAAAGAATTGGAGATAAATGATATTCAATAATGTAGGTTAGCTTGTAAGTGAATATAATTTTAAAAATTGACTTGAAAACCAAAGATAAAAGTTTAATAATCTATACTGTACTGCAAATTATACATTGAAATGAACCATTCAGCTTGATGGAAAAGACACTAGCAAAATGGTCTATAAATTATAAGACCATTTATTTAGGACGGAATATTATTTTTAATAATGATAATATAATCAGAAAACAAAGGCGGTACTAATAAGTGTGCATTGTAATTTGTACTCAAATATGCATAAGTTGATGCAAGTTAAGGCAAACTCATTAGTTTCGTAGTTATTCCGTAATAAAAATCTCGGAGTATCATGTAGAGAAAATGTATTGGCAATGTCTAAAATAGTGCAGGCTGTATTTATAGAAAAAATAGCGTAGCAAAATTATAAATACGTTATTATATAACGACAATCCTTGAACTGCAGCAAAAAAAGTTAGCAAAATATCAATAGTAGTAAGAGATAGATAAATCATTTTACCCTTGAAACTCTTAAATCACAGTTGAATAGTAGCTAAAAGGACAGCAAAACTAAAACAAAACAAGGAAAGATAATCCGAGGAATTAAATTTTACTTAGCCCTTCTTTCCTAAAGATATTCTGATCTAGGATGTACTGCAGTCTTGAGCCCTCTTAGATCTCATTAGTACCATTAGCTAGAATCATACTCAGGTAGAGGCGAATCGTCTTGACACCACAAGAGTGAACCTGGGCCACTCAGCCGAGGTTAATTTATGGGAAGCAAGGCCTACTCAAATTAATGTAGAAAAATTCAAATGTCAGGCAACACGGCATAGAGTTAAGAGAAGTGTAGGAGTGAGGTAGGAGAGCCTGTGTTTAGCAGAAGTAAATAGCAGTATCAACAATGGAAAAGATTAAGAAAATTTTAGTTTTGAGCAAGATTAATTGTCAATTATTTCCCATTATTAGGAAGTTGGTTCCTAATATTACCCTTAAGGAAGCTTATAAAAATGATAGACGAATTAGTGAAAAATTGATCGAATTCCTTTATGTATTCATCTCGAGAAGTTTATGACCTATTTGGATCAAATTGCAATAGCGCTTTATGTTAATGCGATATCGGCCTTGTAAGGGAAGCTAATTTACATATTCACAGAAGAGCCTGCAAATGTCTGTGGGCCCAAAATCAAAATTATCCAGACATGTAGCAAATATAGGAAACCAAATAAAGTTGGGTTTACATTTCGTAGTCAGTCGGTTAGAAAAGTGAATCGGCCTCATCGAAAGACTAAGGAGGATTGCGGCCCCAATGAGTCCGTGTTAAGCTTTCATCTATTATGTGACAGGCATCATTGAAGTGATGAACAATCATTTGTAAATACACTAAACCCGTAAAAGTGACTGGCTGCTATCATACTCGTAAATTCTGAATTTGCAATCTTAATGTGACATCCCATGATTGCATTAGTTACTTAGCCCCAACCCCACATTGTTGCAAATACGTGAAGTTGATGCATAAAAAAGAAGAGGATAAGATCACAGTCGTCTCCTTATATAAATAAACTTAAACCTAATAGTGAAAATTTGACACACGTTTGGGTGTGCGGTAATGAGCATAGTGTGTATGCCGTTTCAAAGTCATGTGACGTGAGAGCTCTCAATAGACTCCAGCCTATCCAAGTCTCCTGCTCAGTGGTTTTTCCTGTTCTCTCTCCCTCGTTCTCTCAGTTAGAAATAATTCCGGCTAAATTTTCCTACACTGCTTCTTTTTATTCGGGATGCTGGCAGTTTAGCCTATTTTATTTAGTTGAGGTCCTCATCGCCTAAAGAACAATATTTTGTGTTTTATATTAGCTACATGTCCGGCCAGCTCAGCTTTTTCAATCCATAGCCCTTTGCAGGCTTGTTTGTATCCAGATAACTAGTGATGAATGATTCGACAAGTCCCTCAAATAGCATTAATGAATGAGCTCAAAACCTTACAGCTGTCTGACTTGGAAAGAGGATCCGAAAATTCCCGAAAAGAAGGCCTAACTGAAAAAAACGCTCTTTATATATTAATCTGATGTTCAACTTCCTCATCAGTTCACCTACCATGTTTAAAAGCTGGCAGAAAAGCAAAATCATGAATCGAGTAGCGTAATCTATCTGTCATTCCTGCACTAAATAGCTATTTCCCCAAATACCATTTACAAGTATTAAAAAATAATTGTATATTAATCCTAATGGACAATTGTGTTAAACTAAAATATTCCCCAAACGTCCTATTTATTGTTCTAGCTGCTTGACACAAATTTCTTATTACCATCAATTTCATATACAATATTCACGATCAAAAAATAAAAGAAGGAACCCAAGCAGTGGGTTTACTGAACACATCTATACCCAACTTAGTTTCTTCTTTACTCACTAGAACGTCTGTATAATGCAACTCCAAAGTAAATTTAGTTATTCATTAGAGCAAGAAATTCTTTTAATCTTTCTTTTCTTTACTGCAAAATAGCAAAAGAGTCATTCATATATCTAGCCAATAATTTTTAAACTTAAATTGCTTTTTGAATTAAACGAACCCCTATTTGAGCCATTTAGTTATTAGCTAGAATTAGAGATAAACACGATACCGTAGATAAGCCTCGAATTTGCTCACGATACCAGGTAAAATATGTACTGATCATAGCCAAATTAGCCAATATAATGATTGATTGTCTGCCCAACGTTTTACCTATTGTAGCTCGGGATGCTGATCTATACTCAACTACAAAGCTTGTGTCGCTGCGCTTGCCGGAATATTAGTGTATGTATAAAGTGCAACGAAAGTTGCAAGTAGACCATCATTTTCTATCGATTGTGCACCTATTAACTTGTGTCTACAACGTTTATCCCACAGATTTTGTCTAATCCATAACTAACACTGCTCCTCTCTCTATTTCAAGCACTTTGATCCCTTTGTTTAAGCTACCTTGGGTTTGTATTAACTATCTTTAAGGAAAAAGTTGTAACTCAGTAGCTCTATTAATATCTTGCGAAGCAACGTTCAAGCCATACGATAGAAAATCCACGGTAAAAGCATGGTTCCTCCTAAGGATCACAAATTTAGGAACAAGGAGTATTATTGAAGCCGACTATTTTTTTCTAGGTTAAGCTTACTTGGCAAATTTTTTCGCAAATGATGAATTTTCGCTCCGGCGATGTCTGTCACATTACAGACGAAAGATCAGTACGGGTTCATCGGGACCACAGGACGATGAGCCGAAGCAATCATCCTTCGGTTGTTGAAACTAATTTACGAATCCCTTCCAACAAATTTTTTCCTCTAATTGAAAAGCCGAGTTACATTATTATGAAGAAAGTGTATCACAGTAAGCGGGAAATATCACTGGCCATGAGATAGGATTAGAGGTAACAGGACGTACTATTGAGTAAGCGGTTTGATTAACACAGTTTTGTTCGAACTCTAACATCTCAATTTAATCAAGAGTATTGCATGCACAATTCCCCTGCAACCATATACACATACAAGCAAATCTCCATGTTATATCACTTGCTCATCAACGTACTTAACAAAGCCATAAAAATTCCTTGCTAAAAGCTGCCAATATTCTGAGACTTGCTTAAATAGGCTACAAATAAATGTTGGGTTTAGGGTGTTGGGTAAGCCTCATTGCCCACAATGATCCCTAATTGCTCCCTCTACGAAATTTGTGAAGATTATATTTATACGGAGGGCTAATATCTCATTAAAGAAATGAATTGAGCTTCATTACTTCATTATCAAAACTCTAATTTATTTGTCATAAGCAAAGTTATCGTGGTCGAGATCTCTCTTAGCTGTATAAAGATGACCATGTAAAACATACCCAGTCCTGCGATTTCTACCATAAAAGTCATGATCATTCTCAGTATCTGTAACTGTATTAAGTCAACGGTCCGATACAAGAAATCACCAAGGTTACTATAGTAGAGAACGCAGAGCTG